AGACGGCGCGGCGGGCGGCTCTTTTCGTTCCACGCCGGATTGGGAAACCGTACACAAATGAAAAGCTACTTTTTCTCGCTTGTCCTTCTCTGGCAGTTTCCTCTTGCATTCTAACTGTTTCCCTTTTCCGTTTCTCCAATGAAAAATGTTCTTTATCTTATACCACAACTGCTTTCAATCCCGAAATTAGGAATTTTTTTTTTTTCTTTAATGATATTTTTCTTTTTCCACCAATCTGTTCCACCTTCGGAGCTTTCAGAACACATAGATTCAGCACAGTCTTGGTAGAAAGTCGAAGGGATTCATTATACGATCTAAGAGAATGACCAAGGGCCGAATCTCGGATGGGAGCGGGTAAATGCAGTTAATGGGCTTCAAGATGATTCACAAGTTGTCTCTTCATCTATGAGTTATTCATATTCTAATTATATTCAAATGAGTTAAGAAGATAGTGGGTGATATTACTTCCTTATGTCGAAATTTTTAGCACCTTCATCAGCAATCTTAATGAGATACCTCTGTAGTTCTCTTAGTCTGCACTATCGTAGTTAAATAATTTTTTTCTAAATATTTATTGTAAGAGAGTGCGCAATCATAAATATTCGACCTGTGTCTCCTTAGATAGCGCTAATTAAAATACCCTGAAATTAATATCAGAATGTTCATTTAGCTGACGCATCAGTTAGTACTCCTACTTCTCCTACTTGGCGAGACATTTTAATGATTTCTTATTACCGATACGTCGACGTCCGGTGTCCTAAAAACGGAAATACATTTTCTAGTTTGTATTTACTGTCATACGTTACTGTTACTGTTTACGTTCACACCAATAGATGTTTGCCTCTCTCAACACATCATTAGAAATGTTGACAAAATATTTGTTGTTTGTATTTTGGTTGTCGTTCATTATCTCAAAAGCGTGCAGTAGAAGAATTCAGGGAAAGGGATCGGTAAAAACTGAATTGTGCTAAAACACTTTTTTCACTCTATATTTATTGCTTTGCAAGTGTTTAAAACGAAAAAAAAGTTGCTTCTTATAAGGATGAGAATTTATGCTTTCGGTTCTTTCTTTTTCTACCTTACCTCTTCGTCACTCCTTTATAGTTAATCTTCTTCTTGAAACTGCATCTTCGATTATTCCATTATTTGTCTTGCTGATACTGGTATGTAAACATAAATATATCTTCTTTGTGGCTAATCGCTCATTTACTGTCTATTGACAAGTATACCGCCCACTCATTTTGAACCTGTCCGTCATTGACTTGTTCACGTCCGTGTCATAAACTAATGGTAACTCGTATTATCTTTATTGCAATCCTTCAAAAGACCATATTTTAAGTGCGCGAGTATATCTTCGTAAAAATATAGAAAGTTATAAGATAAATATTTTACTCTCTATAGTTAAAGCATTTTTATTTTCATTTGTAATTTTTGCATTAAAATTTGAGACATTTTGGTTTTATATAATTATCCATAATTTTTGTTTTCTTATTATAATATTTAACACAGCGTTGAAACGTGTAAATGTTAATGATATAATTGATGGGCGTAAATTGCTCTTGAATGCAAGTTCTTAACTAGACCATAGTTTCAATAATTCTCAGTGATCCTGTAAGTCAAGTTTATTAAGGCACTACCTCATACATACTATGCACACCAAATGTAAAATTGTAATATTTTATACAGGAAGTGAAATAGATGAATGGCTACGTTCGATTATCATATACTGTGTTCACGTTCCCTGCTTCGCACTTTGTTTGCCGTTTACCCGTTCGATGTACCGCTGTATTTGGTCAGCATCCCCAATTTCCATTCTCGCACAAATAGCCTTATCGATTTTTCTATACTTCTACCAGTGAGCTTTCATGAGAGCAGAATAACATTGAACTGACATTTTAGGAATTAACTAAAGTTATATTATCTGCAAACATGAAATAGATATAACGTATTTTTTATGAAAACAAGAAAAGTATGCACATTTTTTATGTAATAAAACTAGAAAAAGAAATAGCCGTGTTCTAGACTGTGAGGAATTTATTCGTATTTTGTACAAAACTGCATTGTGTTTTACCTGTCTCTCCTGGTACAAAGGGTTGCTTTTTATTTACATGTATCTGAAATTCTACGTTTAGTAATGATGCCGTATTTCATATCGCGACTTTTGGTGCACTCAATGCGTCAGAATGCAGAGTATGTATCAAAAACGCGAAATTTTTAGGGGACAGATGAACGAATATTGATGAATTTGAATATACTGAATGTGAGTGACATGAGCAGCCGTATCACACTACTCGTTATGGAGGACTCGCTATTCAGAATTAATGGGATGAATGGCATTCACACGGGCTGATTTGACTGCAGGCCATGATTGAGAACCTGTTGGTTTCCCTCATTCACTTTGCAAGCTCTGTCAAAAGTCTGTTCATTTACAAGATGTTCGCATCAAACTTTCACGCGATGTTAAAAAAGTAACGAATGGATCACATAACTTGCTTGGTGTGAAACAGGAATAGCAAATATACGTTTTTACATTGGCGCGAATGCAATAAAACATATGTAATAACAAAGTTTACGTTCGTAGTGCTTTATATGTCATACAACCATGTCAATTAGACATGTATCCACATAAATGGTATGCGAGGATTTTAAGAAAATATTTTTTTATCGTACTTCCATATAACATTTATATCACTTCATTCAATATAACGAATTGTTTTAACTTCGCGTTTTCATCCTTGGATGTGGGTTACTAGGTGGCAACCGTGCGTTGATTTAAAGTCAATAATATTACCATATTAAATTCGATAGCGCAGCCAGTGGTCCTGCACGTGTATTTAACAGCCACGAATAATAAATCGTATGTTTTCGAAAAGAACCAATAGGTTGTGTTTAAAGTCCCCGTAGAGCCTGCAGATATTTCAAAAGGCCTAAATTTTCCTGGAAGCTCTTCAACAAATTAAATGATGACCAAGAGAAAAGGATTATAATTTTTCACAAACACATTGGAGTTTGTTATTGGAGGAAATTAACTAATTTCTGTTCTAATTCAGCCTATTTATTTGAGAGAGCTCTAACATTCCATATTCCCAGCTTTAATATTCCCGATATTTTTGTTAATTCGTTTCCTTTTTCTTTGCATATGTTGGCATAGAGGAATCAGTCCGGCATGAATCTTTAAGAAATTTACCGAAATGATATCCCCTCGCCGCGTTGCAAGAGCTGCGCAGGGTAAGAATAGTATCCATCGTATACAATGAACTTAGAATTACTAACGCTTTCTTTAAACACAGAAATATTCACTAATTCACACGGACAGCACGTGGATCCGCTTCCATAATTGATTACGTCCATGCAAACAATAAGACGGATAAATATTCAGGATTTGAGAGTACTTAGAAGTTTTGATGTATCATCTGATCATTTCTTAGTAAGATGTCACATAATGTTCCCAAAGAGATTGAAGAAAAACATCTTAAAATCCAAACCAGAAATAGAAACATTTAAAGTTCACCTGTTACAATATTATGGCATAATACTTTTATACAAGAGTAGACACAACAGAAAAACTTATTAATCCTATAAGTAACAATATAAATGAAGAATGGGAAAACATTAAAGAAATTATAACACAGGCAGCAGCAGAAGCAATGGGAGTAAGGAAAAAGAAATTTTCAAAAACAGAGCTAAAGTTCTGGATTAATGAAATCAAACAACTAATTAAAGAAAAAAAGAAGCGTATTTAAGACTCTTTCATCTTCTGGGAATATGAATCATTGAATGGAATATAAAAGAAAATCAGCTTTAGTTAAAAGGGAAATCCGTAAACATAAACGAAAAAGTTGGAAAGTTGGAAGTTTAAAAATTTGGAAAAGAAGAAGGAGAAGAAGAGATGAGAATTAAAAGTGATATATGTAATTCTATAGATCTGATATGAGTTGAAAGCAGCTATTAACACCACAAAAAATAAAAAGTCACCTGGTACTGATAATATAAACATGGAATTGATCAGGTATGTGTCGAAACAATTTATGCAGACACTTCTCAACTTTATTAATATCTGCTGGTCCAGTGGATATGTGCCCTAATTTACCCACTATATAAAAAAGGTTACATATCTGATTGTTCAAATTGTAGAGGTATAAGTCTTGTAAATTATTGTTATAAAATCTGTGCAAAAAACATAAATCACAGATTAGTGCCTAATGTTGAAACTCAAATATATGAAACACAACAAGTTTTAGAAAAGGTTTTATGTCTATATTAATTACGTAAAAGCATTTGGCAGCCCTAAAAGAAGATTATTATCGGAAACACTGAAAAATATTGAACTCCCATCTCACCTTCTTACAGAAATTCAATCATTATACAGAAGTAATAAAATCAAGATCCGAATGCGAAGAAATGGAGCAGAATATACAAACCAGGGAGTAAGACAGGGATGCCCGCTCTCGAGATGCCAACATTACTTTTTGCCGACGACCAGCTTATCATAGAAAAAACTGAGCATGAAACTCAAATAACAGTTTACACGTTAAGTCAGGTTGCTAATGCGTATGGTAGGAAAATCTCTCAAAATAAAACAAATGTGATGGCATTTAAAGGACTTGAACCTTTAAGAGCAATGATAGTTATACACATGTTATGTGTATATAGCCAAATAATTGCACAAATAAATGAATTTATATATCTGAGATATCATTTTAATTATATTAAATCAAGAGATATGGAATTAAAGCTGAACAATTTCACATACTTCTGTGGAATGGTACAACGAACTCTAAAGCATAATGTGCAAAAAGAAACTCTTCTCGGCTTTTATTAAGTAACTGCCTTGCCATTACTGCTTTATGGAAGTGAGAGCTGCACATTAACATCAGATCAGCTACGTCGAATAGAATATGCGGAAATGAGATTTATTTTTTAGCAGGATATTCACAATTAGACCACAGAAAAGTCCATATATCAGAGAAGAATTAAATATTGATCATGTTATAGATATCATAAAGAAATATCGGAAAATACTGGAAAGGACATGTCCTGAAGATGCCAGAACATAGGATAAGTAAAGTTATTCTTCAATACACACCTAAAGGAAAAAGAAGTGTAGGACGTCCCTTGAAGAGTTGGCATGAACAATTTCGAGACGGAACAGATGAAGAGTTCTAATCCTTATTGTCGATGATGATGATGATGATGATGACGATGAGATTGCAGTTTGACACAAAAATTACACTAACATTTAAAACACCCGTTGGCGATTCTCGCAGGGTGTAAAATTAGGAAATGAATCTTTGCAATGCAAGGGAATAATTATTATCCACTGTACTCAGAGCCATGGAGATAGGTTTTCTAAAATTTTGAAGTGGTGAAGATCCTTCCAACCTCTACAACATTCTTCTTATTGTATTTGTACATCAAGCGGTACATTCTGTATAATTATGAATATAAATGAATGATTGATTGATATTGTAATGTTTCTCTTTGGTGAGTTAAAATCCACACAAGTATTGTTTAAACAAAAACATTTATTTGGTTTCTTAATGCTACACCAAAATACTTGATTTATTTGCAGATATATTACACTGTCCTTGTGTTCTTCACTTGATTATTTTCCTTACACACGACTCCGTTCTCTTAATTATTTATTTACACTTCTACATTATCCCTCAGTCCGATGCACTGTCCACAATTCACTGCGCAGACCAGGGTCCACTGCATTGCTGTTTACCGCGATGCACACTTCAGAGCTCAGCTTCGACTGCAGACTTCAAACTGCTGACTGCTGTTCCCTACTGCACCACTGTTTACCGCGATGCACACTTCACAGCTCAGCTACCACTGCAGACAGACTACTGCATACTCACGCTGACGGACTGACTGCTTACTACTTCTACTTCTTACTTGACTACTAGCGGCCACCGGCAGCGGCGAAATTATACCTGGACGGCGCCCGTCTCGACACACCCAACACTTGCATTTCTACGCGAGTAGCCCGGAACCGTCAAGTTCGGGGGGAGGGGGCGCAGATGACGCAATCCGCGCAGCGAATTCTGGCAGGTGATGCAATTTTCGTTACAATATATTGATAGAGGAGTTGAATTAAACGTGTAGTTTTATTTAGGAACCCTCTACTTTTTATTCGTATCGAATAGATTGGTATTTTGCTTAACTTTTACAAACAGTTTATTGTTAACTCATTTAAGGCTCTTGTAGCATATAATGAAAATAAGTTTCCTCTTTACCTCTTTAAATACTGTATTCTATTTGCGACACACACATTCCAATTGTTCATAAAGCGATATGTATGGTAAGGCTAAGAAGCATTAATCAAAATGAAATATAATGTAAAGTAGTTGCAACTATATTGTGGATTATGAATTTGTGAAGATCGTAGCAGTTACGCAAACGGAACTTAGCCAAACATTTAGTTACACTTTTGAAATTCTACAAATGGAAACTTTCACTCATGGTATTTAACAGAGTTCAAAAATGAAGATTGACCAAAGAAGATTTGAAATAGCGTACAACTACACTAGTAGTTGTACAACTACACTAGTACAACTACACTACACTACTACAATAGTGTCTGAGCGGATACTTTTGAAGTTATATCCTAAACGAAAGGATGAAAAATCAAGATGCAAAATTTTACAGGCAACCCAAAAAAATGTATCTTATTCCTTGAGATCTGTTATTAATGTATTTACACTAATCCGATAATTAACCTAGGCTACTGTTATATGGGCTTATAGAGATGTCATATCGAAATAACTGAATGACAAGCCTAGAACTTTACCAGGGCCATCCTCAAATTTTTACCCTCAATGCACTTAAAAAAACAACAATATAATTTAATTGAAAATTATGTGTATTATTTCCTTGTATTAATTATTACGTCAACGTATCAGAACAGAGTACTTAATTAAAATTATGCTCGGCATAACAATCGCATAAGTAGCAGGTTGTTGTATTGTAATAAATGATACTAAATAGTTTGTAATTGTACTTACAGATTCCAGACGTTATAAATAAACGCTTTTCTCCAATTATATTAAATTTTGTTCCTGAAAGTATTCATATGACAAAAAATTAAACTAGGAATCGAATATATAAATTGTATTCGAGGAGATAATTTCTAGCATGGAAAAATATGTCTTTCTTGAGAGAAGCTACACAGAATTTCTATATCAACAACAAAGTTAAATTGTTAAATACATTTGGAATCCGGTCCTAGGCCCTCGTTATCTCAAACGTGTAATGATATTCGAAACATTTTTTTGCAGTGTTTCCTAGCAAGAACGGAAACTAATGGGACAGTGACTGATGATCTATGTGAAACAGGTGTGATCTCTTTATCAATCCAAATTCAAGTATAATATGATTAAGCCAACTCCATTTCGATGCCTATTTCACGTTGCACTATATTATTGCCTGTACAGTTTTTATTGAATATTAATTTATTTCGAATTAATCATTAATTTAATTATTAATATTGATTTCTTGATCATAGCATATTTCTTTAGATAGGCAAATTTCCCAGGTTCCACACATCCCGTGAATCCAACTCCAAGGTCAATCAATAGTCTACTTTCACGAACTTCCTTCGTTAAACGCGCTCTCCATTCGCGTAGGTCGTATTCTAATGCTCTACTTAAGTTCTTCCGAGCTGGCCTGGATAGCCGAGGTCGCTAAGGCTGATGAGTTGTAGCTGCCTTGTGCCTTGTGTCGTGGGTTCGCATCCTACTTGGGGTATGGATGTCCAATGTTATATGCAGTGGTCGCGATATGACTTTAGTGGTTGAAAAATGACCTTAAATGAGTTTTTAAAAAAAGGCTCTTCTACTGTCTGCTCTTTAAAATATGAAAAATTTCTATTTTCTACTAGCAGTTATGTCTTTAACGTAGATTTAAATGTTCGACGTGATTAGCTAATACATTTCATTATATACTTTATATCGCTTTTCTATGACCAGAATTACAGTATATTATGGATTTGTTGAGTTTGTTGCGTCCATTGCGGCCATGTAATGAAGTCCATTCATGTAATGAAATGTTAAAGTTTTCATTCCTTATCAGAATTTCATCGAGTTTGTAAGAATGTGCATATTATAAACATAATTCTTGTGTAGGTGGAAGACTATGTTTTCACTGTATCGAATCAAGGCAGGTAATAATCTCACCATTTGCACTATGGATCACGAAAAGTATATGAAAATCCAAATCTAATTGAAACAAGGTAATGCATACATGCTCGTTATAAATATCATGGAAAGAAATAAAACCCAGGATTATGTTTGTGGTAATACTAGAAATGTCATGGTTCAAATTATTGTCGGCAATGCTCATGCTGAGGAAACATGTCCGTTGGCTCACCCCTGATATAGGATGTGCTGTTGGACCTTTTCGAATTTGTTATCACATAGGCGCTCTATTGTGCTTGGGACAAATTTTCTACTCCAACGTTCGCAGCCAGAAACCGACTCAACACTCGATCGTATGCTACACTATATTCATCCGTCAGTGCTTTTAGCTGACCGAATATAGGGTCTGATTTGGAACTGATTCGTCGGAGGTACCAGTTTTGCCGAGCATTTCGCCAGGGTACTTTCATTTGACAAAATAGCATACTGACGTTTTTCCGCTCTTTGAAAAGACGCCGCTCCAGCAGAGACCGAATCCGCGTCTTCTGGTTTCGGCAACGAATGTGCTATCCCCCGCACCGTGTCATATGTGTATATATTAGTGCATTGACCACCGAGAAGCGCTGTGGTTGTCAGTACTCAATTAGACCACCCGCTTGACGATTGTGCCTTACGTATTCGTGTTGCGCCGACTCCTCCAATTGACACGTCACGCTAAAATTGGGTCTTCGAAAAGTATAAGGAGAATAAGAGAAAAGAAGAGAAAGAAGGATGCATTAATTCAACCGCTGTCTGGAGGAGAATTCTACTACGAAAACCCCGCTAGCCAACGTGTAGGTCGGCACTGAATCTCGTCATCTATCGGGGAAAGATCACCCCCACATCCCTTAACAATAGTATGCTCTATACTTACGGAACCAATGATCTTAGCAGTTGACGTGTCGGGAAACACTAATCAATCAAAGCTAATGAAGCCACGGGTAAGCGGTTCCGTATCAGCTAGTAATAAAATGTATTGGTTGTGACTTTGAATGTATGGGGAATGAATGTCGGGATGGTTCACGCCATACGTATTTCTGTGGCAGGCTCGGCGCCGTTCGCGAGCGGGGGCGCAGCTCCCCTCCGGAAAGTTTCCAACATTGAACTGCTAACCTGAAGGCATCTGGTGAGTGCAATTTTATTTTCTTATTTCATTTCCATAGCTTGCTTACATGAATTTAGCATTGCATTAGTGAGTTTGAAGCTTTGATGACAAGGTCGTGAGAAAATGTTCCGATTACAACTGTCAAGAAAATGAAGATTGCAAGATTGCAAACTTTCTTGCAGAATTTATATATATATATATATATATATATGTGTGTGTGTGTGTGTGTGTGTGTGTACTTTAGCAGTAAATTTTAGAGAATATTATAAAAATTGAATTGATTCATATTCTTACTCTTCAATTTCGTCAATTTCAATAAATCGCTTATATATTCTTGTGATAATTTTATTATTTTTAATACAAATCCTTGAACGGTTATCATATAGGAATAATTTCCAATTTGTTCGTTCGTTAATAGGCATCTGATAATTGTTATACCCATCTCTGTAAGGCACGAGATTAATTTATGTGAGATTAATTTGTTCGATAAATATTTATTAGGTATCAGTTTTAAAAGAAATTGTAATATCAGGAGTCCGGATAAGATATGTAGCCCGGATGCTCCAGGTCAAACATCGTTAGATAGTACTTGTCTGTTTTGTTCGTTATAGATGTGTCGGAAACTGGAATAAGCATCAAGCCTAATGAATAGTAAGAGTACATTGCTCCAATCCGAATCAGGGCAGTACAGAACAATTCATGTCAAAGTAGACCGCTAACTTTGTAGTTTTCCTTTCACTAGTTTTGAAATAGCAAATTATGATAAAAATATGCTGATTTACTTACATCTTCAATATTTGTAATATAAATATCATTCAGCATACCATACTTTTTTCCTAAAAAATCATTTAATCTGATTTTAAGAAATACAACTTTTAAAAAGAAGAGCAGATTTCTCTGAAAGTGGGGAGACGTAAATCGTAATATGCTCTTTGTATGTCCGGTTCGGAAAACTTCATGTAACATATTTACTAGGCTGTCCGGGTGACGCCGCGTCCATGGCGAAGGTGCCTTGGCACCTTCGCCATGGACGCGGCGTCACCCGTACAGCCTAGTAAATATTGACTCCGGCCGCGGAAGCCTACGCTTTCATGTAACATTTACATTATTTTACAGAAAGTAAAGAATTAATATCAATTATAATTATGAAGCATTTTCCTGCACTTTTCCTGGAAATAACTTTCTTCAGTTTAAAAAGTTCTCGGTGTATTCAACATTATTTTTCTATACATGCAACAATGGAAAGGCGCGACGATGATCATATTAAGTAGAGGCGCTGGAGCCTGCGAGATCTACTTAAAGTTATACGAGCGGAAGAAAATAGGTAGTTGATACCTGCAGTGACTTCACTCTGAACCGACCGCTTAATCAAGCAACACCCCCTCATATACTTCGAGTGTTGATATTGTCAATACGCTTGGGCTTATCACTTTTTCTAAACGTGCATATGTTTTTCGAAAGCTTGTATAAACTACTCACAAGCTTTGAAAATTGATTTGACCCGCAGTCTTTTGCCTAATTTCCTCGCGTCCCTTCACAATTTGGTACCTCTGTGAGCAAAACTCGAGTTCCCTGCGTTTCCAAACTAAGAATGTTAATTAGAGCGCTGTCTTCCTCCTGTGTTGCTTTTACGAGTGTTTTTTTATTTATTTAGTTTAAAAAGCAACAAATCTTTGTGACGTTGGAATAGGGACGAAAGAAAGCAAGGATAACTTGTGCCCCGAAGCCAAACGAAGGACCATCTCAGGATTTGCTCCAAGAATCAAGGGAAACTGAACAAAAACCCAGGACGGGATGAATGTCACAAGCACAAGCTTATACAATGCAATTAGAAGGATAACCTGCAATTACCAGGTTAATAATACATTTAAGACATGCAGATATGTTATTACTTGTACGCTGTAGCCCCATCCTTCAAATCAGCTAAAGAGGTATAGCAATAAATATTAAATATTTCGGTAGAAAGATAGTACGAGTCCAATTTGTATATTGTTTACGTCAGGAGCGTGAAATAAACTGCCAATTCGATAAATGAAAGAAAAGCACTAACCTCATGTAGCAGTTGTTGCTTATGTTCGTTTTTTTATGTCACAAAATTTCTCGGATATTATTCCAAGCATGTACACTCACATTTCAGAAGTTCTGTGTAAATTCTGAATTTATATTCTTGAAGATCGAATATTATGCTTTTACCGATGATGTATAAAAGGGCTTTGAAATGATTTGAAAATTGGTGGCATCAAGTATAAATACTGCACTCTGAAAACACCAATAGCCTTGTTTCAATATTGTTCTGCTAAAAAAAACAGCGCATAAGATGCATTATTGGTTCGTTAATGGCGAACTTAAGTTCGTTTGAAAGATTAGGAACGCTCTGTAAATTTTATTAAATGATCTTATACCGTATTATTTGCAAATAGTATGTATGTATCTCTATGTTGCAAATGTATTCGTATCAGGTGTTAACACGGTATTTCAGTGCAGTGATGACAGTTTCCGCTTGTACGATCATATGAATCTACGCGCCTAACGGTGTGGCCTGCAATAGATATTAAGGGTTTAAATTTATCATATGCTGTCTGACCGTTATTAAGAGATGGAACACGTCCACAGGTATAGTTCTTGCAAGTTAATAGTTCTGCAGTTGCCGCTAAATTTCGTCTTAGAATTAAGTACTTTGACCTTTCCTTTACATTTGTTGTTACATTTACATTCATTTTTGCTTGTCTGATGTGAGGTTACCAGTGTGTATTGTGTAACTTTATAATAGCTTCATTACTTCTAACAAAGCTCATAGCATATGTCTTAGCAAAACCTCCAAACCATGAGAAAATAACAGGTTTTATGTACCTACATTAATGATGTTAAGAATTTTTTTAGATGTGCACGCATATATTAGAAGTTGACTATATAGGACATGCGTGTAAAGATATTCGTATTGTAACGTATTAGCCAGCGTGCCTCATGGCATCTATTTGGGGACGCTTGGTTGCGGATTAGTCGCGCCACAGGAAGTAGGGTTTTTCCGTAAAGGGAAGAACGCGGAGACGGGAGACACAAGGCTTTGGGTGTCTTCCGGCTTATAGAAGCTTTTCACTGTTATAACAAGCGAGGGGGTGGCGTGACGTAGGAGGTCACGTGGGCCTCGCCTATATAACAGAGTGTACGGAGCCAGTAGGCAGGTTCTGGAGACGGTGGGAGAACCTCGTGCGTGTGCACAAAACTTGGCGCCTAGACGGTGCATATGCGAGCCAGGCTCGCGAGGCTGGAGTCATTAGTTGACGAAGCCTGCGGACTTTATGTCCTTGGGTGACTGCGGTCACGGGGGAGCGATGCTGTGTGCGTGCTCCGAGGTGAAGAGTGGTTGAGTGCCACGATTCACGCCGATTCTCAATCGGATACGATCGCTCCTGCGATCGAGGCAAACCAGCCGTTGGTGCGCCAGAACGGACTTTGTGTCCCAGCGTGACATCCGGTCACGGAAGCTAGGCTTTGTGCGCGCTTCAAAAGTAGGAGTGGCGAATGCCACAATCAAAACCATCTTCAATCGGGTTTTGGATCGCTCCCGCGATCAGGGGATAGTAGGTCTACCAGAGCTAGGGTTTAAGTAGATTATTAAGTGTATATATTTGTATTGTTTTCTTGTTAATAAATATATTTGTTATACGAAAGCTCTGTGTCTGTGGTCGCTGTGAGTATCCATGACGTCACAGTATAATCTTGGAATGCTAGAAAATTCACATAAATTCTATTAAAATGTTATTCTTGTTGGAAAATGGGGTAATGGCAGACATCACTTTATGAAATTAGATTTCAAACAATAGACATTAAGAATTGACATTGAAATATTTGTTGCAAAAATATATTTTCTCTCCTTTTACTGGTCTACATTTTCTAGGGGTTAAGTAACGCATATAAGTAATTTGTGTGGCTTTCTAAACTTCGTTTATTCGTTCACCGCTAATTCATTTATGTACTCAAAAAATGATCTTCGAATCATTTATTCGCTTATGTGCTCCGTCATTTCTTCATTTACTAATCGTCTTTGCCTGACTATAGACTTCAGTCATTTATATAAAAGTGGAGTGCCGGTAAAGTTGGTTCAGGGATTCGACTGATGTCACTGCAGTTCCTCTGACCGAGAGGACCTAAGATTCGAGTCCCGACAGTGGCAAGATTTTCGCTAGGTGTGGCTAGCTTGTCAGCTTGTCGCGTTGGGCAGCTTCTGGAGGAAAATTCTAGCTGCCGGCCGCTCTGATCAGTAGTTTCATGTGAATTTCTCCGATCAACACCAGGCGAATCCCGAAGCAGTACCCTAACAAACGGGCAACCTTCCGAGCTCGAACATTCCTTGATCTATTCAGGACTATCATCTCTTTCTTACTCACACTTACATGCACTACACTATCACGCGTGCAGTCAGGAGCTTAGAGCTTGTCCCTGCAGGAGCGGTATCGCGTTGGAGATGCCTGGTTGGAAAAATCCCAGTAAACGGACGTAGGTCGGCGCCGGATCTCGCCTGTCATCCCGCGTTGAAAATATCCACTGCAGTTGCGTGGCTAAAGAACGTAGCAGTTGACGCGCTCGAAATCACTAATGAATCAATCAAAATTGGGGTAGAACGAAAGGAATATACGATTTGTCTCTGGGGATGTACGCTCACATTTGTTGGGAAAGGATTCACTTCATATCAAAGTATGTTTTTTTTCTTATTCGTTTAGACACTAACTTTGAATATGACAGCAATAAAAACTGGATTGCTGGATTTCATTTTAATTTACTTTTCATTTCTATTAGTCTTTAGTTCGTGATAAATTATACTATTGGTTATAACTATACTATTAATTATACTTAGTTTCCATAATGCTGTGGAAATCACTTCCGGTGATTTCACCTCAGAAACTCGCCATGAGCAGTGTTCCACGTGATGTACACAACATACGTGCAGTAACTCGAATAGAAGATCACCCTGCGCCAAAACGGATCAGAGTATCTCAGAATAGCTGAAAATTGAACCCTAATTGTGTATATAAACGACCCTCATATGATATTCTCACAGCGCGGCTCTTTCAAATAAAACTAACTTTATAAAGGTTGATCGACATAGGTACTTAAACCAAATGTTATTTGCTTCACAGAACATTGATTATCTTGCAATTAACATTGAAATTTCCAGAATCCCAACTTTCCTGTAATGGCTATTATTGTAGTTAAAGGGTATGAATAAAGAGTCTTTCATATGGATATTCTGTTGTTAGAAATGATAACGAATATATCTTCTTCATGGAATTAAATGTGTATTATGTTGAAAATGTTTTTGGAATATCTATCATACATATTCCTAAGCTCAAAATGTTCTTACTTTATATTTACAGGTCTCCAATAAAGTGACCAATAAATTAAACCACTTTCTTAGAAAATCTATAAATAACTCTAAACAAGATCAGTAATAGCTTATATAGTCTTATCAAGAATCCATAATCTATTCTTGTAAGCTTAGATTTTTACATTGATTTTCCGATTGAAACTTCTGAAAAATAGCAGTTTCTCAATTCAACGTATTCCTTCACTTGAGATTTTAGAATAAATGTATTTATGATACATTAGGATACAATGGCCACGATAAACAAATTATTACATTTACAAGAAAT